TTTATTTTATTTTTTAAAATGTACTGACTAGTTTGTAGTTTCTTAGGATCTCAAAAAGAGAAATATATCGTCGGATCATTGTGAATGATCTGAATTCGAAAATGAGAAGATAATAACATGATATGCTCGTGCGAAATGATTTGAATTTGAAAGTGAATATATATATAAAAAAACAGTATTGTTTATAAACAAATATATAAATTTAATTGTTTAACATTGGATTATTGTATGATATTTCCTTGATGGTAGCAAGCGACAAAAATGTTTAAATTGAGTTCACTTGAGATGCAATCGAATGCAGTTTTATAAGAACAATTTCTTTTAAGTAATTACTTTTCTCCATTCTCTAAATCAAGTTGAAAATATTCAATTCTAGGAGTGTAATTCATAAGTCAGTATGATTATCGAAATTTTAATGAACTATGTTTAGGATGTTGAAGTTAGATTAAGATTTCGAATTCGAAATGCAATTGTACCCTTTAAAAATCCAATTGTGCAGACCATGTAATAATTTTGCCGCACAATTATTTAAAACCAATAATCCGTGCACGTAAAAGAATATAACCAAAATTTAATGTCTGGTTTTTATATTTTTTCTTATAAGATTGTTCCAATCCATTATTTAATGGCGTTAAAAATAGTTAATATATTTAAATATTGAATTCAATAATTAATGTATATTTTAAATAAAAATTAATTAATTTCAAATTCTCTTATTAAAAAAAAAGCAATTTAAAGCTTTTATACTTACCTACAAAGCCCGTTACAATTTTTTTTTTTTTTGAAAAGTAAAAACTTCATTAGATCATAAACTTAGTTTCTCAGCAAAAATTACATCTAAAATGATTTGGGGGACATTCATTAAACCATTTACAATAGGGTACGGAAAGGATCTATATATAAAGTTTTAGATAAGCTAATTTACAATGGTAGATAAGAGAGAGATAGAGAGAGGATGGTAATAAATAAATAAAGGGAATTGAAAAGAAAAAAGACTTCTCGAGCTAAGATACAATGAAGCTTTAAATAAAAAAAATTTAATCTATGAACAATATCTTTGTACTATTTTTCGTTACAGTGTACAGTAAAATTTTTATCTACAGTACTTGCTATAGTATTTTCGATAAATAGGTCTCTGTCTTTTTTTGCTATAGTGATGTTTTATCTGTCTGCTACAGTGACTGTTACAGTTTTTTCTGTCTGCTAGTCCTGAGCGTCGAATGAACTTTGTTGTTTTGTGTCGACAACTTATTCTGGCTTATTCTTGTTTGAAATTTGCATAGATATTATCCTTCCATAATATTGTTTAAATTATGAAATTCTTTGTCCAGTACATTAAGAGACTGTGGTGATGGAGGAGATCTAGAATGTGATTTGTTTCACATTTACCATCCATCTTGATACTAATATAGTAATTTTGTGGGATGATCTAGATATTTCATTTTAGATAATTTTTTCAGTAGCTGGATTACTTCTGGTTTATTTTGAATATCCAGATCTTCATAAGGTTTAAGAAATCTAAGGACAAAAATTTGTCTGCCATCTATCCAGCAGGCTATTTTAGGGTAATTTGGTTTTGTAGCTAAGTGGAGAAAGAATTTTACTTTTTTCATTAGGTCAATTCTTGTTTGGAAATAATAACTATTTGGGTTTAAGTATTTAGTGATGATTTTGTTTAAATTATCTGAGAAGTCGATATGGTCAGTTGGTGGATTAAGTATAGTGAGGGGTTGAAGGAATGTCCATCGGATATTCTATCAAATTCTCATATTTGATAAGGTTGGTAAAATCTTTCTCTTTGAAAGGTACCCAAAAGATTATATATAGTAAAATTGATGTAATAAAAATGTTTTGACCATTTTATATACCCGTAGAAATGATGCTTAATAAAAGTAGGAAAATTTTTTAAAAGATGAAAAGAAAAGTAAAATCTTTCTCTTTGAAAGGTATCAAAAAGACGGTATATAGTAAAATAGATGTAATAAAAATGTTTTGACCATTTTATACACCCGTAGAAATTATGCTTGATAAAAGCAAAAATATTTTTTAAAAGATGAAAAGAAAAGTTTTGAACGGTAATTTATCTGACTAAACCAAGTTCAATGCTTTTTACATTAAAGGTTTTGTGATCAAGTCGAAATTTAATTTTTGATATAAATTCACCAAGTGCTGTATTATACATGTATATAAAAGTATAATAATCAAAAATATTTTCTACCAATAGTTTTTTTGTTGATTGTAAAATAAAAGAATTAATTTACTGGAACAATTCCTTGGTTAGGAATATTGCAGCTTTTTCAAAAAGAAGTATTCTTTTAAGCTTGTTTAGCTTAGAAGAATTATAACTTTCTTTTTCGAAATATTCGCATAAAATTCAAGAAATTATTTATCTCTTGAATATTGTACTGATTTTCTTTCAAAGCAAAGAAATCAATATCTTGCTGTTTTAGCAGATTAATTGATAGAAGGCTTTGGAAAGCTATTTCTTCAAAACTCTGAAATTTTTTAGCCTGGTTGACTAAGAATTCAGCTAATTGGTCATCTCTTTTCTAAAGCTAGATTTATTTTTTGAGAGATGAGATTTCCAAATATTGTTTAACAAATTGTAGACTTGCAATTCAAGTCCAAGGTTGTAAAAATATTTGATCTCTGGGTTAGAGAGTTTTGTTCTTTCAAGCAGTTTATTCTACTGAAGAAATGATTTGGGAATAATTCATAGGTGTCCATTCATTTGGATCTTGAGCGAATTGAGAGAATTCTAGTTGAATCCTCATAAAAAGAGGTTTATAAGGTGACTGTTGGTAGAGATATAATCCTCGGTTAAGATTATTGTAAAAACTAAATCCTGGGTTAGGATTTGTAGAGAAAACATGATGTTTTGAAGAAGAAAAAGATGATAATTTTTTACCTGTTTTCTTCTTAATGGTTTGCCATTCTCTTGTATCATGAATAGGTTGTTTTCTTCGATCCATGTGGTCGGCTCAGATAGTCTACAAGGAGATTTTTATCTCCATTGATGAATTCTACCTAAAAATGATATTGACAAAGAAAATTATACCACATAATTCTCCTGAAATTATCAGAGAGCTTTTTGTTTTGGAGAAAGTTTCTTACTGCTTGGTTATTTGTTCGAATAACAAAGATCTCAATGGCTAAATAGATATGAAATCGTTATACACCATTTTTTATAGCTAATAATTCTTTTTCAAATATAATATAATTTATTTCATTTGGTTTAAATTTACTGAAATTATTGCCATAAATCAATTCATCTTTTTGATGAAAATTTTTTGCTTTAAGGATACATCCCCAATGTTCATCATTGACATTTGTCTCTAAAATCAATAGGTCACCTTGTTTAGGCAAATAGACTTTAGGGATAGAGGTTAGCTTTGATTTGATCTGTTTGACAATATCAGAATCTGTTATGGTTCAGACAAAATCATTGTCTTTACGTAATTTACCCAAAAGATAACTTTTTTTTTAGAAAGGTTTTTGAAAAATTACCTTTCATAATTAAGTATACCTAATAGCTGTTGTAGCTGTTTGATATTATCCAGTTGTTCTGGAAACTCCTTGATCTTTGAGATAATGTGATCCTGCAATGTTAGTCCATTTGCAGATAAGTTGAGGCCAAGAAATTCTATTTCAGTTTTTTCAAGTTCTACCTTTTTGGGACTCAAAATAATACCATGTAAAATAAATTCTTGAGCAATAATATTCAGGTGTTTCTTGTGCTCATCTAAAGTATTAGAAAATACTAAAATATCATCAATATAAATACAGCAAAATTTTTTATGTTTACAAAAAATATTATCTATCCAATGCTAAAAAATTTGAGAGGCGTTGCATAGACCGAAAGGTATAACAGTCCATTGGTAGTGGCATGTTGGTGCATTAAAAGCAGTTAAGGGTTTGGATAAATTTGTAAGCATGATTTGCCAAAAGCTAGATTTACATTCAAACTTAAAAAAATATTTAGCATTTTTAGCTAAATTTATCAAAACATTTTTTCGAGGAATAAAATGCCATAAAAAACAAGATTTTAATTTAATTTCTTATAATTGATAACCATTGGGGTTTATCTCGTTTAATCTCAGAATGGTTTCTTACCATAAATGCTAGACTGGAATGAGGGCTGATAGTTGGTTCTATTAGACCTTTGTCAAGCAATTTTGAAATTTGAATTTCGAATTCATCTATATCCTGCTTAGTATAAATCATGGGTTTTGCTCTGATAATCTCTTTTGGATCATGAAGAGTAAGTTTACAGTATCTTGGACTTTGCTTCCAAAGCTTCAATGGTTGTTAATTGAAGTTTTTCTACAAAATCCTATAAAGACAATGTCTTTCATTGATAGCTTTAATTTCAGAAATATGGGTTATTTCTGGATGAAAATCATTATCACAAACAAGTTTATGCTTGGATAATAAAAGAACATTTATTGATTTTTTATCAATAATAAAAGCAAGATGATCTGTTAAAATAGAAAATGATAAATACTTATGAATAAAATTATTTCCTAGTAAGATGTCTCCATGCATGTTAAGAAAACATAATATTTTAAGAATTATAAACTTAATATCATTTAAGGAAACATAGACATTTTTAGCTTTTAGGCTAGCAATGGTTTTCTTACTATCAATTACTATTATTATTATAGGATGTTTCATATTTTATCATAGGGTTGAAGGCAAATCATTAGATCGATAGCCAGAGATTATTGTTTCTATGTCAATCAAAATATTTAAACTATATAGTTTATAATTTTGAAAATAAAAATAACTTTATACATAAATATAATATCGAATCTTTTTTACAAATAAAATTGTCTTAGGTGCAGATATGCAAAAATTATTTATAAAATAAAATATTTTAATTTTTTTATTTTTAGTATTTCTAAAAAAAAAAAGTGTGAAATTAACATAAAATTGATAGAATAATAATAGGAGTTGTTATTACTTGTACTTTGCTGAAAAAGATTATCTCCTGTAAATATAAGAATTTTACCAGTATTATCTGTAGGATGCATACTGTTTGCTCGTCTTAGGGTCCTGTTTTAGATTTAACTTTTGACTATGAAGGAAGAAGTCCCAGACAAGAGTAGAAAAATTGAAAAACACAGAGATTGACTAGTTATCAAGGAAGAATAACCAACATCACGAGAAAATTAATAAAGAAAAAAAATTATCATAGTCAACAAAGAACAACGAGCAAACCAAGATGGAAAAATTTTCAAATTCTTTACTCTGTAAGTTGTTGCAGCAGCCCTCTTCCTTTTTTTAATTAATTTTTAACTCTGGAGTTTATTGCATCTGTTTTTTTTCTTTAATTAATAAAAGAGAAGAAAATAAACTTACCGAATTGCTTAGAGAGCCTCGATTGTTTCAATTCATCTTTTGGATAAATTGGAATCTGGAAAGTGCTGAAATTTTACTTAATTTCTTCTTTTTCTTTTCCTTTTTTCTTTTCTACTTTCTTTGGTGGAAGAACAGAGAAGCTGGTGCTGATCTTTTTGTTTTGAGTAAGTTTGTACTTCTGGGTTTTGCTTTTTTAAGCCTGAAAGTTTGAATCTTTGCAATTGTGCACTGTTGTAGAGAAAAGGGTTGGGCTGAATTTCAGACAAGGCGCTTGAAGCTGAAGAAGGGTTTCTGTTTTGAGTTGAGATTAGAAAATTATGGAATTTTGACTAGTTCTTTTATTTTATTAGTTTGAATTTCGTGTTTCTTACGGTAGGGGATTTTGGTTCCCATGCGGGCACAAATTATTTGGTTTTTATAGCAAGTTATTTTGAGTTGGGGTTTTCTTTGTAGATGATATAGAATGTGGGTTTTGGTGTTTGATGGATTCTGATTAGTTATTAGAATTTTGGCGGTTCCGAGTAATTTGTTGGAATCAGAATTTTGGCATTAAGGGGGGTGAATCATGCTCAAACAGATTCTAAGTAAGCTTCCTCGGAAGTCGTCCAAGACAGCTGATACTCGTGAAAATGGTGTAAACCATACTACTTATTCTAGTGTTTCTGCTGGCTTGAGGAGCAGTGATTTAGGAACGGGCAAGTCGGGAAATTTGAGTGTTTCATCTTTTCCAGTACCTAATTCTATGGTGGATGTTGGATGGAAAGTTGCAAATTTGAAGCCCAATGGGAACCATGTGTTCTCTGCTTATGAAGCATTGCCTGCTTTCAAAGATGTTCCAGCTTTGGAGAAGCAGAACTTATTCATAAAAAAGCTTAACTTGTGTTGTGTTGTATTTGATTTCACCGAACCCACCAAGCTCAAAGAAAAGGAGATCAAGCGACAGACATTGTTAGAGCTCGTGGAATATGTGACTTCTGCAAGTGGGAAATTTTCTGATGGTGCTCTGCAAGAAATTGTTAAAATGATATCAGCAAACTTATTTAGGAGCCTTAGTCCTCAACCACGTGAGAATAAAGTTGTAGAAGGCCTTGATTTGGAAGAGGAGGAACCTACAATGGATCCAGCTTGGCTGCACTTGCAAATTGTGTATGAGTTTCTTTTGAGGTTTGTAGCCTCACCTGAGACTGATGCAAAATTGTCCAAAAGATATGTTGATCAATCCTTCATCATCAAGTTGCTTGACTTATTTGATTCTGAAGATCCTAGAGAAAGGGAATATTTGAAAACAATTCTTCATCGAATCTATGGCAAATTCATGGTGCATCGACCGTTCATTAGGAAAGCTATAAACAACATTTTTTTCCGCTTTATTTTTGAGACTGAGAAACATAATGGGATTGCTGAACTTGTAGAAATTTTGGGCAGTATTATTAATGGGTTTGCACTGCCACTGAAAGAAGAACATAAAGTGTTCCTTGTTCGGGCGCTAATTCCCTTGCATAAACCAAAATGCTTAGCAATGTATCATCAGCAGTTATCTTACTGCATTACGCAGTTTGTGGAGAAAGACTGCAAGCTTGCTGATACTGTCATTAGGGGGTTATTAAAGTTCTGGCCCATTACAAATAGTTCAAAGGAAGTCATGTTCCTAAATGAATTGGAGGAAGTTTTAGAAGCAACTCAGCCACCAGAATTCCAGTGCTGCATGGTGCCTTTGTTTTGTCAAATTGCTCATTGTTTGAACAGTCTGCACTTTCAGGTGAGAAATTTTTGAAAGTTGTGTTATGGTTTGCCGTAATTTCTTAGTCTATGTAGATGCAAGACACATTTTTTAAACATCTTTCAGTTCGATGTTGATGATATTTTAAATCTGTTTATTTCATGTCTTGGACTTGGAGACCTTATTGTCTTTACTTAACATTGAATGCATCATATATGCCATAATGTGGATTCATTTTTCTATGTAAATTTGTGACTTTCATTAGACGTTTTTTTTCTGATTATTTTATCCTTTGCTGCCACTTCTTTTACAACCCTTTCCTCCTTAATGTCTCTCGTATCTATCCTCCCATATTGCAAAATTTTCTAGGATTGTTTGAACTCATCAATTTGTACCATGTAAGACTGTTTGTTTATAATTTTCTTCCACTTTTACACTATTTTCTTGGGCTCTAAAAGGAAAATGCTACTTTTTACATTACACTATTTAAAAATGAGGAGAGGTGTTGAATGGACCGAGGGCCAACTATAGATATATTAGCAATTTAAATGCCAAAATACAATAATTTAAAGAGAAAGGAAGGGTACCATAATATCTTCTTTTCAATCAGTGATCCAAATTCAAGTCTAGTGCCTACTAAATTTTTAATATGGATCAACTTGGGTGTCATTACCATTTGCTTGAAATGCCGTCATATTTTCATAGAATGTGTAACACAAGGATAAGTAAAGTAAATGTTAAGGGATAATATGTGGTGATTGATTGTGTGATCAGTTCAATAAGTGGTTTGAATTTGACCAATGATGTTAGAACAGCTCAAAGTTGACTATATATAATAGAGTTATAGGTTACAAAGTTAAGCATTATTCAATGTTCATTCCATTTTGCATGTTTAGTGCCATTCCCATTGGTGTCGAGTTTTGACAGAGTACCTGAGTGCAGACTAAAAAATGCTTGAGTGATTTCCAGAAATTTATGAAATGTTATTTTCAATTGTATTTTCATGATGTTCCATTTATGAAATTAACAAATAAGTGTAGTGGCATGAACAGGACTGGTAGTTTGGCTCAGGATTCTAAATAGTTGCTCCACAATATTACAAGTTTTATGGATTTTAAAATGGTTTTGAAAGAAAAATCTTTTGCTAATTTGCATTCGTTTTCATATCTGCTGTTTCTGTTTTTGAGTGCTTTAGTGTTTAATTTGAAAGTTTTAGTGCTGTTTCTGTTTTCATATTGGCAAGTTGGAATAGCTCAGGAAGGTCAAATATCTATAACTAAAACACCTTTTTTCTTTTGTAATTGAAAATTATTTTGTAGTTAGGCATAATTGTTGGTCCTACTCATATTTTAATGTTTATTGCTGCAATAAAGGGAGGGTGAAGCATTAGATCTACTGATATCTTATTATGGTTATTTATGTGGCACCTTTTCTTCCTTAAAAAAAAAAAAACCGGTCTCTTTAGTTAATCATGGCTTTTGATTCCTTAAATTTCCAATTTCAGTGATGCTGATTTTGGCAATCTCGAATATACTAGTGTGTATCCATATTATATCACCTACATTTTTCCTCTATATGGTTGAAGTTTGAGCTTGAATCTTGTATTAAGCCGAGCTTCCTTAAATATGCAATTCCTTGATCCTTGAATGTCATATGCAACTGTTTATTTTTTCTTTTCTTGCTTCTTAGGTAGCTGAGCGAGCCTTGTTTTTGTGGAATATCGATCACATTGAGAACTTAATTATTCAAAACCGCAAGGTTATATTGCCCATTATTTTACCTGCCTTGGAGAAAAATGCTAGAAATCACTGGAATCAGGCTGTACATAGCTTGACTTTAAATGTGCGCAAAATCTTCTATGATCTTGATCCAGAGCTGTTCAAGGAATGCTTGCTTAAGTTTGAGGAAGACGAATCAAAGGAAAATGAGATTGAAGTGAGACGTGAAACTACATGGAAGCGCTTGGAAGAACTTGCTGAAAAGAAAGCTTCTGGTAGCGAAGCAGTGCTCATTCCCCACAAAGCAAACGCTAATGGCTCATCAGGTTAGAGATAGAGACAGATTTATTGGTAGTTTAAGAGTATCAGATTTTCTATTGGGATGAAGTGATAGCCTTTTCTGGGTGGTGGAATATTGTCAATTTCTTGCCTATTATAAAGAAGGAATCTGAGATTGCTGTATGGTAGGTTCCATCCGATTAGCAAAGGCTAATAAAACATTTTTTTTGCTAAATTAATCTATATATTCTTGAACTTGTCCTATTCATATACTTCTTCTTGGTTAGCATTTGAATTTACTTGATTGATTATGTTATCATGACTCATGAGCATAAGTTGGAAGCATCGTAGCTCAGTTTAGAGAAAGCTGTGTGACTACTTACCACTGGCCAGTTGACAACTGACAGGTTTATGCTTGAACAAGTCAAAATGCAACTGCTCCATTTTGCTTCCTGTATTGGGTTTTCGACATCTTTAGGCAGCTGCAAGTGCTAGTGCTGCTACTACTATTACTACTACACAAAAGGGTTAGCTGATTATTGCAAATCATTAAAGCAGCCATCTCCATCTTTGGCATGAAAAATTTTCATACGGCATTCCCGTCATTGTCAGGGAATTTTTAGAATAGCAACCAGGTTTTTTTTTTAATGACTCTCTGCAAATTACTGTATGGACTGAAAAATGGTGGTAAGAGAGTTATTAATTCCTCAATCCGCAGCCTGATAACGTCAGATTTACATACATCACTTGCCTCCCGGCCCCTGGTTCTGCTCGACCCTAGTTGGGCCTCTTCCACCAGCAGTCGATAAAACTTTACAAGTGCGTGGAGTGAACGCTCCAATTACTCCTGCTGACCTGACACACACCGCGTCAACCCCACCTGGGCGGGAATAATCTCTCCCTATCACCAGGCAGCAGATTGAGGGCTCTATTCATGCTTTTATTGTTTGCTTGTGGAAGATAAATTCATTGGAACACACATATATATATATATATATATATATAAATATTTTATTTTATTCGGTGTTTTTTGTAAATATTTTATTTTATTCGGTATTTTTTATTAATCGAGACTAAATTTGGTGTAAGAATTTTTATTTTAGATTTTTTTATTTTTATATTTATTATATATATATTTTTTTTATGGTCTATTGTTTAATTTTTTTTTCTCCATTATCTTATTAATTTAAAAAAAAAAAAAGCTAAAAAAATAAAATTAAAATTGATACTAATCTCTAATTAAAATTGAATTAAAATTCTATCATCATGAATTTGTATATTAACAATGAATACATAGAAATAAGGGGGCCACAAGAAAAGAAAGATCACAGTCATGGTTGCCACGCCATTTTTTTATTCTTCCTTCATCTTCGTCTTTTACAAAAAGAAAGATCACCTGTACAACCTCAAAAGATTCAATCACCGCCACAATCGCTTTGCTCTGCGCTTAATAGTGGCCTTTATTGGGAATTACTATAAGCCTAACTCTCGCCTTGCAACTCCCTGGTGCTTGTTAGGTGCAAACTCCATCAATTAGCCTGTGTAACATTGGAACATCAATCAAAGAGAGAGAGAGGCCCTAGATTTTAGCACTTGATTTCGGCAATCGACTGTGACGAATCGAGTCTTGCTGTGGAACTCAATCCAGCTGTCTTTCTTTATGCTTTATGAAGGCAGCTTTCTTCATTCGCCCCAGTTCGAGATTGTGGATCGGAAGCAGCAGCCTTTTGGTTCAGACTTTCCTACAGATTAAGCTGGATGCCTTCCTTCCTTGTTGAGAGACAGAACTCAAGACCGATGAGAAGATGGAGTTAGATCCGGACATAGCCGTTAGATCTACGATTGGCGGCATAGTCTTTTTTAAGCTAGGTTGAGTTTTCGGCTTTTATCGATTCGTAGATCGAAGATTTTCGAGTATGAATTCCTAAATCATTTGGTTGTTCGACTTGCCTTTTTTCTGGATGCCCCATGAAAGAGGATTCGAGCCAACAAATATACATTACAATATACATCCCTTCTACTTCAATTAAAAGAAGAACAAGCTAAACTTTTGAAGAGAATGGGAAGAGATAACATGCTAGTGCATCAGAACCTTTCTGTTGAACCTGCTCATCTGAATGGCCTTAGCATGGTCCCTGGCAACCAAGCTGATGAGAAAGGAGAGTAGATGGTGCACTTGATAGAAGGTCAAGGTTTGTATTCTGGGTCTAGTATGAGCCCTGTCCAACCATCTAAACCTCTAATTTCTTCTCAATCTTCGAATTATTCCCAGCCTTAGCAAAAGCTATTTTTTGGGATAGCATTGCATTCTTCAAAGCAACTCCAGTAGATGGCTTCCCATTCTGATAATAGTTCTCAAGGTCAGGTTTCCACAGTGCCTTTCGGTCATACACTGTCAGTTGTGTATCAAACCGTGCTGCCAGCAGCTATTTGTTCAAACCACTAGCATTTGTAGCAACAATCACAACCATACCAAAAGCAAGTTAATCAAAACCAACCTACCGTTCAAAGGATGCTTCAGCAGAATCAACAAGTGAATTCTGATCCTCCCAGCAAATCTCAAGCTGAGCCAGCTCAAGGTTACCGACAGCCCATGAACAATGCTTCACAGATGGGTACAACCACAGCCATGGTAATGCCTCAGGTTGGTATTTATTCAGTTAACGACACAGTACCGACCACCCTCACAACTGGAGAAACATAAAAAAATAGCAAAATCTCTAGATCTGGAAGCACGTTTTCCTTTTCTAACCATGCGAAGGTCGGGGCTGCATAGGCAGCATGGGAGGCAAGGAGGAGGAGAAAGACTAAAGGGAATTTATGCCAAGCTAGCGATTGTTGTTGTGGAACTTTTGAACTGTACACTTTCGCTTTTACTTTCGGCTACAATTGGTGGAAATCGTGAATCTCTCCAGCCTTCTGATCAATGTAGAAGAACTTTGAGAAAGTGCCAAGTCTGGTGGTTGCTGGAGGCCATCATCTGTTCCACGATCTGATTGGCCTTTTCTTTCAAGAAAAACTAATGGCTATCTTCGAGTTCGTTGTAATGGCAGTCTGAATCAGCAATGCAGTGCGATCTGTAATACGGTTCTTGCTGCACTTATGAATACGACACTCATACTACCTGAGTTGGATGCAAACTTTTTTGGCATGATGACAGCTATTGACCATGTCAAACCCCTACACTTGGGTTTTGTGTGCAATGACATTTGCAAATTAATACTTTTAAGCTCGAAAAGTTTTGGGCATTATGTACCTATATTATTCAGAATGGTTATGAGCTTCATCTAGAATGGAAACGTGAAAAGTTGTTTGACTTAGATGTTGCAACAATGCTCCAAAAGTTGGTGACAGAGGATGGAATTCTTGAAGTAATTGATGTATAAAAAAAACAGGCACGCAAAGGTCGACCTTTTGGTCTCAACACAATGAATCTTTTGAAAGTTACTTCAAGTGCATTAGACTTTGGACCTCAGACAGCAATGCAAATTGCTGAACGCTTATATACACAAGGTTTCATAAGCTATCCATGAATCGAAAGTACAGCATATCCTTCATCGTTTGACTTCAAAAGCACACTTAAGGTATTAGAAAATAATCCACTATGGAGTGACTATGTCTAAAGACTGCTTGCTGAAGGTTATCATAAACCACGCTCAGGAACAGATGCTGGTGATCATCCTCCTATAACTCAAATGCTACCGACGACTGAGGATATTCTTGGAAGCGATGCTTGGAGATTGTATCAGTACGTCTGTCAACCTTTTATAGGAACCGTAAAAAAAAATTTTTGAAAAAAAGTTGAAAGTATCAATTTTTTTTAAAAATAAATTTTTAAAAAAAGTTTTTATGAGGAAAAGTTGAAAGTATCAATTTTCCTAGAAATTAAAGTTTTCAAAAAATATTTTTGGGAAAAAGTTAAAGTATCAATTTTTCTTAAAAATAAATTTTCAAAAAAAGTTTTTTTGAGGGAAAGTTGAAAGTATCAATTTTTCTTAAAAATAAATTTTTAAAAAAAGCTTTGAGGAAAAGTTAAAAGTATCAATTTTTCTCGAAATTACATTATCAATTTTCTCGAAATTAAAGTTTTCAAAAAATATTTTTGGGGAAAAGTTGAAAGTATCAATTTTTTTAAAAAATAAATTTTCATAAAAAGCTTTGAGAAAAAGTTGAAAGTATCAATTTTCCTCGAAATTAAAGTTTTCAAAAAAATATTTTTGGGAAAAAGTTGAAAGTATCAATTTTTTTCGAAATTAAAGTTTTCTAAAAAAATATTTTGGGGAGAAGTTGAAAGTATCAATTTTCCCTGTACAAAAGTGGTCATTTTTTTTTTTATTTTTTTGGATTTTTTTTAATGTTAAATAATCCGATGATGGAGCCTCTGCAAGTGAAATAGTAGTTTTCTTGCATACTCTTGAGGTGAGGAGATTTTCTCAATTTTTTGCTAAAAGTATTAGAGTCAATTGAGAATAATTTTCAATAATTAATTACTTGATAGATTTTTAAGGCTTATTAGATAACACAAAATTATGCTGGTACTATCTTTTGATGGGCGTTGTGAGGGTGCTATAACTTTTTTCACACGTAATCGAACTTTCGAACCCTGTTCTGATTAGTAGACCCGAACCTATTCTTTTAAGGACTCTTAAACTTAGGTGTTTCTTGAAAAGATAGATTCCTTAGGTGGCCAATCTCACCTAGATAAAAAAAGATTGGTAGCGACTCCTTAAGTCCATGTGTAGCGATAGATCCCTGGATGTAGACATTATGAAAGCTTGGCAACTCCGTTGGGGACTCTGAGAGTCAGGCCAGCAAATAAATTTGTGTTATCCAAAAGCCCAATAAAATTGAACTTTTTTGTATAGATATTTTGTTCATTCATGTTTATTTACTTTATTAATTATGTCATTCATATGCATATGCATAACATAAGCTCTATACCCGAGCTCCGTCCCTCTAGGAGGGAGTAAAGTACCTATTGCTTTCGTGAGATTTAATGCCTCTGCAGTGGCTAGCAAAATACTCCCACTCAAATTAAACCTTTTTCGCTTGTAGCCTATAATGGGTGAGGATTAGGGTGCCTCACTAGTCTGTGATGGACAATGATGTAAGGAGTAATTTGGAAACTTTTAGACTTTAGTCTTGAACCATATATAGTGAACCTTAGAAGTGCCTAAACCTAAGATAGAGCCCTTTCTACCCAATGATAGGTATACCCTGAAACTAGGACACAAGAAAAATGTTTATCTAATCATTTTGATTGTCTGACTTTGTGCATCATTTTCATTATCATATGTAACATTATGCATCGACATTACTTTCATTTCATCTATGAAACTAACTATGTTATGTGTCTAATTTTATGTATCTGTATTATTTTCATAATCATGTTTTAACACAATCATTTGCATCCATTTCATATTATATTTAATCCATAAAAATGTACATTTCATTCGTGCATCAATGTATCATACATAAAGCATAGCATAGCATTTTTAATCATAATTGTGATGCTAAAGGTTCAAGGATAGCTCCACCAAGTAACCCCACTCACCAATACAATACAAGAGCTCAAGCCAGACTAATGGAACAAGAAAATTTCAATCGTCTTGAGAGAATAGAGAAAGCTCAGAAGAAGTTAGAAGGGGAATTGAATAAGATTTTAGAGGCTTTGAACAAGTTAAACAAGGGGAAGGCAATAAAAAAAAATGCTAGCAAACAAGATCATCCCCTACAAGAGGAGGATGACCCACTGTACCCTCATAGTTTCAAGCCACATTAAGTCCAACCTTTGCAAGGTCCACTATCACAGTAATTCACCTATCTTGTAGGGTGCATATATCTCAGAATGTCATATGACTTAAATCAAAGACAATACCAAAGTTATATAAATTCTATCTTTACTGAAGAGACAGTAGAACCAATATCAATCTCTAATTTGGATGATCTAAAAGAATAAAAAAAATT